CTACAGCTCGTACATCAACACAGCTGGTGATCCACTTCCACCCTGAAACAGACAGGCAGTACTCCACTTTAATTTCATTTATACATTTTTATTACTAGTTTTCTATTCTCCAGAGACAGAGAGAGAAAAAAGGCTAGACTTTAAACTCTAGAGGGAAGGGAAGAGAAACCATAGAGACTAAAATATATAGTATACTGAAATTTATATAATTTCTGTCCTATGTTCAAACATGCATGTTACACAAGCTGTAAATAGCTGCACTACATTGTTTACAGTTTGTTTACAAACCACTAATGAGACTACTGTACAGATAAAAAATGTTTAGCTTCTTAATAAGCACAACTAGTTTGGGCCAATATAGTTGTAAATTTAGATTTAATTTAGATGAAATCTAAATAACTCAGATAAACACTGCTGTTAAAAGAGAAAGCTGATATTGTTCAAAACTTTTAAAACATTTTAATTTAGATAAAAAACCACCACAAGGTGTGGTTTAGAATGGAGAGGGATCATCACTGCTAGAACAGCAGTTTGTGAACCTGGACTATACGCTAAATAAATGCAAGTACATCTGTGACTTGAGAAGCACTAGTCTCGATCACCAAAAAAAACCCCAAAACAAACCCACAGTTGGAGAACACTACTCAGAATAAATCTTACATTAATGCTTGTATTTCCACATATACTTTAATTATGAAGGCTCCAAATGCCACCAAGCTAACCACCTCTCTGTCAACTGCAATGAGAAACACTATTTGATAGTGTGAAACAAGATATTCATTGTAGCTACAGCCCCTGGAAGCAACTCAGCATCAAAGAAATACTACAAGAGAAAAAACATACCACTCATTTTTCATCAGAAATTAAAAACTTTGTGTTCAAGATGTTTCAAGATGTTTATTTGGTTTAACCTCCCATAATTCATATTCATTTCAGTGCCATTATTGCCAGTGTTATTCTAATACCAGAAGAGTTTACAGGTAACTAATATATATATGTGCAATTCTATCAAATAGAAAAAACCCAAGTGCTGATGTACTTACTGCTTGTTCCAAATGACAGTCTAAAATTAGCAACCTGCACTGCCACTCAGAGGAACAGTGGATTGACCAAAAAAGAGAGATTTCTCATTCCCTTTGCTTCCTCTGTCCAAGGGCTACAAGGTCAAAAAAGCACGAGACCCATACAAAAGCCATGCAACAGCCTCCATCTTTGTCAACTAAGGGTTAAATTGTATTCTGTTGAATAACTTTTAAAGGCTTTTCAGATATTAAACCACAAATATTATGGGCAGATGTAACACTAAGTTCTCCTATCTGCTTTTATTCTTCTAAGTCTAAATTCCATCCCATATGATGTCATGCTCAACATATAGAGCTGGGGGAAGAAGAAGGAAGAGGGGGATGTTCAGAGCGATGGTGTTTGTCTTCCCAAGTAACTGTTACACATGATGGAGCCCTGCTTTCCTGGGGACAGCTAAGCACCAGCCTGTAGATGGGGAGTAGTGAATGAGTTCCTTATTTCGCTTTGCTTGCATGCACAGTTTTTGTTTTGCCTATTAAACTGTCTTTATCCCAACCCACAAGTTCCCACACTTTCACCTTTCTGAGTGTTTCCTCCATTCCACTGGGGGGAAGTGAGCGAGCAGCTCGCTGGCACTGAATGCCAGACACAGTTAAACTACAACACTGTGGTTTAACTGGTCTCTTAAAAAAAACCCAAACCTGCACATTCACACATTTCAACTCAGACAGATGTATTATTTTTAATAAGGCTTGGTGCTTAAAGACTATACAACAACCTGTTTTTTCACTTACTGTTTGAAGAACGGAAGGAATTCCAAGATTTAAAAAAATCTTTTGACTTATTGAAATTGTGGGGTCGGGTTGTTGTGTAATTACATGCATGTAAAAGTGACTTCATGTTTACAGAAAGTAATTTCTTCAATACAGTAGTAGTAAGAAAGATCCCAAAACGTCTTGTTTATTTAGAAGTGCTTTTATAAAGTCTTCTTGTAATAAATTTGTACCCTCCCCCCGCCCCATTACTATAAAATATGATAGCATAAAACATCAGCATTAGGAACGCTGCTATTTCTTATACAGTCCCCCAGACTACATTTATGAACCTACATTTATGCTGTGCTAGCCTCCAGCATAATTCTCTTTACATTGACACCTAATTGGTCATTTTTCTTCGCTCTCCATCGCCTGAACATGCAAGTTTCATTTAAGAATAAGTGCTTTGTAGATTGACCTAGTCACTTGAAAGTGCTTGAAAAGACTAAGTCAATTGCTTGCAACTGTGCATCTGAACACAGATCAATCCAAAGTGCCTGAGCAAGCTCACATTAAACAATGTAAATGTTATAATAATCAAATGCAGAGTAATACATCTAGGAAGAAAGGTCATACCCACAAAGCAGAAGATCATATTCTTATAAGCAGTGGCTCTAAAAGAGAAGACAGTATGCAGGGGATGAGTAACTCAGTATAACCTCCTGATGCAATGTTACACGAGTCAATGCAGTCTTTCACTATATCAGACTTTTCTAAACCAGAACACCAACGTCAAACCTGTCTGACATCATGTGATGTACAGAGGAGCAATACATTTTACAGACAAGTCACAATATCAAAGAGAGACTGCAGAAGAAAGCTTTTCTTTTTGAGGGCAGAAAAAGTATCTTACACCAGACAGAGAGAACTTCTTAATCAAGAGGACAATCAGCCACAGAACTTTGCAAGGAGAAAAATGCCATGCACTAGAGAGCTCTCTGATCTGGGAGAAAGGCCTAACAGTCAAAAGTGGAAGCCAAACTGCTTAGTATACAAATTCATTTCCTATTAGCAAATAGCCACTGGAACAAACTACCAGATGTAAGTCAGAAATTGAAGAAACCAGTCTTCAAATCAAGATCTGCTGTTTTTCTAGAAAATACATACAACTAAACTGAATTCAGTTAAATAAAAAAAAAAAAACCTTGAGAAAATGGAAATAACTTATGACATAAAATCCTGACCACACAACAGGATGGTTCCTGCTATGGAAAAACAGGAAAACAAAAGACCTTGCATGGCCTTGGCTGCTGCATCCAGATGCACACTCTCCTCCTCTCTCTCCTATTAATGTTAGTAGTTTTGCTGTAACAGACTGTGGTACCCTAGATCTCCTAACTGTCTCACACTGAGTTTGGAGTAAAATGGAGAGGAACAGGACACTTTTAAGGCACTGAAACAGACGAGACATGTGGTTCGCCCTAAGTTAACCCTTTACAAAATTTGTTAAGAAGAAACTACAGGACCAGTGTACTGCTGATCTGGTGTAAACTATACTGTAAAGTGATCATATTTTCAAGCTTTTCCCTTCTCTAGAAATGCAACTTCCAAAACTAGATTGCCATAGTAATTCTCTATTATTTAGGATACAATAGGTACTTTTATTTTAACTTTCCCTCCTATATAAGTAAGGGCTTTTTTTTCTTTCCTTGTCCAGGCACAAGCACCTTAAGCACAGACCAACCTCTGATAGATGCCTCTACCAACATTCAACATATTGTATATTCATTTTGTCAGTAAGCAATTCTTCCTAGGTCAAATTAAGTGATATGTTTCTCTTCCTTCAGAAGAGAGAGAGAGTACTTGGATTTGACAGAAGTAGCTTCTGCAAATATTTCAACCTTACCGAGAAGTAAAATTTGGATAGAAACTCTATAGGAGGAAAAAAATGGGGCAAGGAGTAGAAGAAACAAGGTTCCCACTTTAACCTTCAAAATCACTATAAGTTTTCCTGAGGGAAAATGAACCGACAATCAATGTTTTTGGCTCAGCCTGATATAAGAAGTTATAAGGCATTTGAAGAGTTCTGTGTTAAACCTAAGTATTAACCAAGCATCAATAAAAAAAAAAGTTAGTGATAAACAGTGAAACAGTCACAGTGAGGTCTGGAGGTTCTGGCATTCCCCCATCGAATACAAGGAAACACAAATCAAACACTATACAGTCAATGAACTGTTACATTCCCTGTCATACAAAAATGCCCCATGTACAGTTTCCAAGAGATCTCACTTCATGTCAAAGTCCTGTGTTGCAAGTTACAATTAAGAAAACTAATAACTGATATTTAATATAGCGGTGTCCCCAGCTGCTATGATAAGAAAATAATTTATTTTCCAACATGCAAGACCTTTGTATGCCGCTGTCGGGAACAAGCAGATTTTGTTCTTCTGTTGACCTGTGGACTTTGAAATGTTTAACTCTTCCTACATGTGGGACATGCAGCAGTCTGTAGACCATAATAATCAGCTTGTGTTTAAGATAATGTATGTCTTCAGATATCTAACCTGAGACGAAATACTTACTGCTTAATGAACCGACACACTGGGCAAAAAGCAACAAATAAAAGCAGGGGAGAAAAGGAAGGGAGAAAAAAAAAAAAGAAAATAAGAAAAACATCCTTCCAGAAAAAGCAAAGTCAGCCTCTACTCAGGACAACACATTAACTTGCTTCATCTTTTTTCATCAAAGAAACAACTCTTACTCAAATTCTGAAAAATATATATCTCCATTCACTCTGTCTGATGATGCATGGCCCACCCAATTGTAGTAGATATTAAAAAAAAAAAGTTATAGTTCCTTAGAAAGGTTAGCATACTAACACAAGTAACTTGAAAATAAAGTAACTTTGCTAAGAGTGCATTTATATAGAACTGAGGTACAAACAGAGACTCATGTAGTCCAAGATTTACATGATTGCAGCCTGGAAAGAATAAAAATGCTCTATTTTAAAAAGTGTTAGAATACTAATTTTTCCAGCAGGGACAGTAGCTGAACAGGCACCTATACCATTAATATTCAACAAAAGTGTTCCCTAATGAAAGTACAATTACTTTAATTAGTACTTTTATGAGGGTTCACAAATATGGCACAGCACAAGTGCAAGCAGTTATGTCAACAGAACCTGCCTTGCCCCCACTGTGCCTGAAAAACCTGGAGACATACCTGAATACTGCTTTTTGCAGCAGCATTGGTCTGTGCTGTATTTGAAGAAAGGGAATCAAAAAAGGCTTGGTCAGCTAATGAGTTACCGCAGCTAATTCCATCTTTTGCACCTTCAGTTATAATCTGAAATGGAAAAAGTTTCAAAATATTTTTCATGCTTCCACTAATTGAATTATGCTGCTTATCATATATAATCATCCTAACATTCATGTCACTAGATGTTAAGATGGTTGCATACACCCTTTTTGAATTCAAATTGAATAGTACCTTTTACAAGAAGTAAATGCGAGAATCTGGAAGATTTACTTCCACAACAGATGGATCTGGTTTGCATTATCACAGTGTAACACGGAAGACTGTTGTGGCAGTGGACACCTAACTACGAATTCACTGAGGATTAACAAGGCTGTTAACATCACTTCTTAGAGACTGGGAACTCCATACTCAGAGAATCAGTTTGGGACAGCAAGTTTAGAGAGCCAAAAGCTACGAGAGCTTGAGCTGGCCAACTGAAGACAAAAAAGATTATGTGAACAACCATCCTCCCCCTGCCCCTCTTCTGAAAAAAAAAAAAAAAAAAAACCAAAACCCCAAAAAACCCCAAATCAAAACAAAAACACCAAAACAAAAAAACCCAAAAGAAACAAAACCAAAAACCACCAAAAACAACAAACAAAACACCACCCAAGAAACAACAAAAAAAAACCCCAAAGCACTGGTGAAGGAAGGGAGGCACATGCCTTAAGAGGAGGCTGCAGGAATTACAGCCACAGTCTTCACCTAACTGGCACCTGCAGACATACAGACACTGGGACCTCCAAGAGTGAATTGGATTCCAGCCTTTGCATTGAGATGCCCATTCCATCCCCACCTCCTCCCCAACACCAGCCTTCAAAGAAAGGGCAGATCAGCACACCCCAAAGAGACAGCAAAGGCTCTTGGGAAGAAGATGAGCTGAGCAGTCCCTGGACTCGGGATCCCATGTCCTGAGTCCCAGAAATGGGGTTCCATTCCACAGATGTATAAGCATGTGGCAAATCAGCCACAGCAACATCAGTGTAAACTTGCATTATTCATTTCACTTCTGTATCTTCCAACAGGAAAACAAAACACTCACTGGATCATGAGACCCTCAAACCCAGAAACAGACTCAAAATAGCTCATGTTCTGCAGATCACCGGTATTTGCTGTAGACAACCTCCTGTTGCATTTTTTTGGGAAACCACTAAGAAGCTCAGTAACTTTGGTTGGCATGTGTACACTGGTCTCCAAAGCCAGTTACAGTTGCTACAATAAGATTATATATATTCCAACCTTTAACACTGGAAGTTGTATGTTTGAGCATTACCGTCTCATCAGCGAATAAGAGGATGGCCTTTTCAGTAGTTCTGCTTTCTTAGTGCAGAGCAGTGCAGTCACTTACCTCAACGTAATCTGTTGGAACAAGTCCTCTCTCGCCTTGGCTGTTTTTTCCTTCTAACCAGCCTCCACCAACATCCTAAAAGAGGTAATAAATATAGAAAGAGTTTTTCTAGATGGAACCCGCAGCATGCTTTAAACAACTCAGGAGGAAGCACTGTCTTGCTGTCAAATGCAATGTTCGAAATACAGTTATGACTGTATGACCATGAACAAACTTGCTCAGACCATACTTGTTTCATGCAGCTATTGTGGACTTTAGATTTAATGAGTATGAGGGGGAAAAAGGCTCATCTTCAGCACTTGTGATCATTCATGAAACCACAGTCACCTGTCTGAACACAGACTGCATCAAAACACAGTATAGCAATTCCAAAGCATTAATTTCAAACAACAGATTATAAAGAAACAAGACTCAAGGAATTAAGCTATTGGTAACACATGTAAAATCTCTGCTTCACTTATTGAAGGTGCAGAGGTGTGTGATGAGAGGGAGCTATAACCCACAAGAACATTAAGGATAATCTCAAGATTAAGAGAGGCACATGCCTTGCAAGATCTGAAGACTCTCTTTCCAGTTTACATTTAATTTCAGAGGCAGGTCTCACACTATTAGTTTGGAAAGAACTAACACAGTTCAGCTCTGATCTCAGTGGGGCATCCTGTTACTGTTTGTTTTTTTTAAAAACACATATTCTACATACACTAAGAAACCTTTTGCAGTCAAGCAAAGTCATTTCCAGGACAACATTATCCAAAATGAGCCAGTTCCATTTTAAATCAAAGCTATTCCTTGAACATGTAGTTACAGGTCAAGCTAACCCAAAGCTGAAAATTGGAAGCATATATGCTAGGCAGTAATTATTAAATTTCAGGTTTTCTTAATTTGCTTTTTAGTTGATGTATTTGCTTATTCACAATTTTGTTCTTTCACTTGTAAATTTTATGTAATCCTGCACATAGTAAGGAGAAATCTGCTCATATATTCAAGATTTTAAACAGTAAAGATCAAAAAGTTCCTGACATAAGAAAAAGCAAATGAAAGTTTGTTAAGTACTTAAAAGCTTACACTCAAGAACACAGAAACAGCTAGACATGCCAGATTATAAATTCAACTATCTTGGCTAAACTGCAAGAGCAATGACATTTGGAGCCAGAAGTCACATTTGCACCACTGCACTTAAGAGCAATCATCAATGGACTTTAATGACTTATGCTATCACTGTCTAAACTTATCATATCAAAAAAGATCAAGAGCCTTTGTGGCAATCTATCCCCCAGTTTAATCATGGACAGCATAAAAGCAAGTTTTACCTGGTTTTAAGTATATTCCCCTAACACGCAGATGTCTTGTTCAACCAGAACTAGCTTAAAAGCTATTTATTTAGTCCTGATTTTGTGAAACAGCATTAAACTCTTGAACTCATTTAAAATGTTACCTCTGCCACAGCATAGCATCCTATCCAAGAGCGTGCTGGTTCTATAAAATATCTGCTTCAAATCTTTAAGGTCAGTCGAACTAAAAACTATCAGGATTATACATGACTAGGGTCTTCAAAGAATTGGTTTATTCTGCAGAACCCATGTTTCCTATACAACCAAATAAATAAAACCTGGTATCAATATCAGGTGTTTTTTGTTTGTATGTGTTTGAAAATAAAAGTCTATTCATTGAGCCATATCACTACACAAAAATCAAAAGCAGAATCAAGTAATTCTTATCTTGCTACCAAGGGTAAGAATTATACAGGACAATAAAAGTGCACTGAAGTTCAAATTGTACACACAAATCAAATGTCAGTGCTCAAAAGTATTAATAAGAACTCCCCAATAGTATTACCATAGTATTTTCACCACTCCTTCCCTGTACCTTTTCCATATTGCTTTAATTATGAAAGGATACACAAATTTAGTAACAAATTTTGTCTAAAGTTCTTTGAACAAACTTGGAATGCTGAAGCCATTGACTGAGAAAATCAAAACCAAGAAGGGAGCTGGCATGTCAGATTTAAATGCAAGTGGCAAGCACCTGAAATATTACATACATGCAAAATGAGGAACATCAGGCACACAAAATAAGACAACACATTCAGATGTAAAGGGTATCTTTCCTCTGCCTTGCCACTCTCTAAACTCACCTTGTTTAGAGGGGAGCAAAGCTGAGCAAGTTCTTAAGTGCGTAGGCACAATCTGAGAGGGTCCCTGTCCTCCAAAACTGATGACTGCATTTGTTTCCATAAAACTACCAGAAGATTCTTTGTATTTAGTTTTATTTGCTAATTCTTCAGAGGAGAGTAGCCAGGGCTTTCAGATGTCACCTAGCACCTTTTTTCTTCCATCTGCTAGAAGTAGGTCAGGAAAGTGCACTGAAGCCTTGATTCCATCTCAGTTTTCTTACCGGGTTTGTAATTATGATGATCTCCCCTTCACTGACGGTCAGCTCATTGTTTCCAGGCTCAGCAGCAAAATCATACATAACACGAGCCTGTATGTGAAAAAAAAAAAAAAAAATACCAGTGAGCCTTTCAGTTTATCTAGAAGATTTAATGAAGAAAGTATCAGCACAGCCTATTCTTAAATAGCAGAAATAGTAAGTGGGGTAAGACTGAATGTACAAAGAGCAACTCAGCATGTAGGAAGCCAACATTTCCTACATTTGAACTCCAAACTCAACACTAATGCAAACTTTACAAGATGAAAATCTCCTGCAGAGCTTGTTAAAGATGATAATTATTTTCCAGGAGGATTCACAGTTTAAGACTGGATGTTCTATGCCATGTCCAGAACTCTCTCTACAACTTCTTTCCAACAGGAAAAAATAAAGGCTTCTAACTTTAGCAAACAATCCAATTAATTTTTGTTTTTCTCTACAAGACCTATTCCAACTCCAATTCGGGTAAAGGGAACTTTTCTGCAGAGCAAGCAATTCAGAAAAATAAAAACAAGTAATTTCAGATGTAAGGAACCACTGCTGTACATAAGAAGTAATATGTAAAATTATGTTTTGAGACTCCTTGTATTCAGGAGGAACTATGCAAATATACAACAAACAATGAAAGCAGGCCTGTTACATATTGGCACGAGGGGGGAAAGAAAAACAAAACAACCTAATTTTTAAGTGTTTAGACACACAAAGGTTTTGCTGTGTACTGACTCTGCTACATCACTACATAAAGAAACATTATGTTTGAAACACTAACAAGTTGTCTAACATTTAAAACACAGTTCTGCTTCTTCATACAGAGAATTGTCACATGGCCTAAGATTATATTCACAAACATACTTTTGTTGTCTTTATTAAATTCCTTTCCAATCTAAAAGCAGAGAAAACTCTCAGGATTTACAAAGGGACTATATTTATTTTCTCACAAACTGTTGAGATGGATGCAGAGAGAAACCACATGTATTTTCCCCTTGACTCTTAAAGGAAGATCCAGAATCAAAGCTTTTGCTTTCCATTTAAAGTGGCATACTAGATAACCTTTCAGCCTGACCACAATAAACCCTTTATCTAAGCTCCTTTTCCCCTTAAAGAAACCTTATAGCATTAGTACAACTTATAAAAGATAAAAGCCTTACTATTCACACCTTAAATCTTTATGTTAGCCAGGTGCCTCAGAAGCAATCAATACACTATTTTATCTGATTTATGCCAATGCTGGAGTACCAAAGACAAAGGGGAAAGCTAGGCTACAGGTTAGGAAAGGCAAACAGAAAAATTACAAGTTTTAACAGAAAGTACTGACAGTTATAACAAAAACATCAATACTCAGTATAGATTACATCATAGCCCTTATTTCTCCAGCTCATACAGGGTTAAGAGCAGTAGAAAGCTTATTTCAGGAAACACATGAATCTCCCTAGCGCATCTTGAAAGAGGCAAGGCTACAGTCTCATCTTCACCAGTAAGACATGCTTTAGCTACCTCAGCTCATACAGAAGCACGCTTTGTTCCTGCAGATTACAAAACTAAATACAAGAAAAACAATTTTACAACGGTGTTACTAATAGCATCAGATACTGTGTATAGCAACTAGGTCCTTCTTGTTCTTAGAGGTCAGGGAAGAAAAAAACCCACATACCTAATTGTTTCTGCCATATAGACAACAGTAAAATAATTATTTCTGTTGAAAGTGAGTTACGTGATAAGAACATCCCAGAACACAGACATTATTAAGCCTTGCGTGTCTCGAAACTGCAGGTTGTTATGATCCCCATTTCAACATCCCTTCTAACATAAAACCAGAAAAAACAACCTCCCTCCCCCACATTTTAGTTTCATAAGTATCATGTGGAAATACTTCTGGCTGGTCAAGAGATACTTTATTTACTTCAGTGTAAATAAAAACAGAGCAGAGAAAAAGCACATATGTTATAGTTCAGCTGACAAAACTAATCCTGAACCATGTGCACAACAAACCAACCACTTGGTCTTCTCCACCAGAGAAGCACAACATTGCAGGTAAGTCCCAAGCACTCTGAACGCTTCCTTGCATGAAAGCTTTTCCCTTACAACTGAGGCGTTCAGCACTTTCAGATTACGCTGTGCAAAATCAAGACGAGAAAACGGTTCTCAGTAATAACACTGACTGCTTTCCTTCCAGCAGGAAATCAGGCCTCCATGCAAATATAAGCTGCCTTACTTTCCGTAAAAAGTAAACTGAAGAGAAGCAGCCTATCTTCTGAAATACAAGAACATTTAAGTAGGGTTGTAAAAAGCACTACCCTGCAGTAGCAGAGGAAAGTGTTGAACGTGTCCTTTTTACAGCAGGCTGACAACACTTATTCAGCTCCTGCAAGTCAATTTAGCAGTGCTCAGATGCGTGGCGTCTGAACCGTGGGGAAAGCAGCTTTCTTAACCAGTGAGACCTTAACCTTCTTCAAGTAGTATACCATAGTATTAAGTTCTTGCTTGTACTCACAGGAACACTGAAAATTCACCAGGACAAGGTTAGATTTTACCAGCCTTCAGGACAACTGTCAAAACATCCCACAGTAATGACTAGACTGGAAAGATAAGATATATTTATGTCTAACAAGAGAACAGACATGCTAGATTCTCCAGATGTAGCAGGGAAATAAAGTTACTCGGAAAAATCTGGAAGTATTCAGCTTGTAGGGAAGGAAAGACCAAGAGAGATAGAGAATTTATTAAAGTCATTGTGACAAAGTAAAAAGGGAAAAAAAATATTACAAAACCCCGATAATTTTTGCCTTACTGCAGTTCATGAAATTGAAAAGAAAAAAGATTCACAATACTACAGAAATGGATTATTACAGAGCATTAAGCATCAGAGGCACATTTGTAACCTGATCCATACATTGACGTCTCAAGTACATTCCCCAGATTTTGCTGGTATTCTCCGTTTCACTTGCATTTCTGTGCTCATTTGCCCAGTTTAGGAGCTAAGTTCCTAAGAACTCTGGCAAGTAAGCTTTAACACTACCCTCCTACTGTTGAGATTTAATGGGAAAAGCAGTACAAACTCAACCAATTCCAAAGTAAGTGAAACTAACTGACTAAATGTTTTCCCTCGATTTAATGTGTATTGTCAACAATGGAAAACCCTCCCTCTAGCTGTTCCTTGGGCAGAGGCATCAGCCCCAAACCTCTTTAAATTTTTGACAATCAGCTCCAAAATCCTATAAAAAGGGAAATGGTTTGGTTTTGCAATGAACCTTTTCCTACTGACTGGCCACAAACACTACATCCAAGTAGCAGTTATGGGTTAGAGTTAGATCTTTGCCACTTATGCAAAATAGCATGTGGGCATGGAGAGAAGAAAGCATTTGACCAGAACAGGTTCCTGGGCACTGCAATAGATGCATCAAATATTAGGTCTAAGCTTATGGACATTTTGAATACTTATAAAATTGGAATCTCTGACAAATTCCAAAAATCACAGAATGAACAACATAAAGGCAACTTCTTCAAAACAGAGGTTTAAAAAAAAAAAAAAAAAGACGTTACAATAACTGTTGTGCTTCACATTACTTCTGATCATGTTAAAGGATCAAACAATCCAACAACTACATGAACTTCAGAGATTCAAACATTTTGCCAGTGGAATAAAGGCCACTGCTTCACTCAGAGTACTGCAAATCCACAAAACAAGTAAGAATTGCTAATCAACATATTAGCTATTAAAAAATCAGTTTATTTTACTGACTGCTCTCATTTCTCCCTCATCTCCTGCATCCATCCCCCTCAAGATACAACTGGTTCTGGATTCCAAAGTTGTTTTGTCAGATCCTCTGAGAGAAAGGAATGCTAACCCAAAAAGTTTAAACATACGCCACTGATCAGACAGCAGACCTGGTTGCTGTACTGTACACCTACTGCCTCCCTTTGCTCCAGTGGCAGCGGAGCTTCCCACACAGCCACTGGGAGTAACACATCCTGACGTTTATCTCCTGCTCCTGCACAGAAGAAAAGGCCAGGACAGATGAGGCAGAACCCCAGCACAACACCTGCCAAGGAGGAAAGGGCTCTCTGATCCCAGCATCTCCGCGGCTCTGGCATACGCTGCAGTTTCTCTGGAATGAGAGGGAGCTGGCAGTTTTCTCTACAAGTTGAGGACAGGTGGAAAACAGCAAGAATTCCTCTCTATTAAAGGAAAATGAGCCTTTCAGCAGTATGGGTATAGATATTTAGATTGTAATAAGGAAAAGAAAACAGAAAGGAAAGCAGTAATTCCCAGCGTTACATCAGCAATCTCTGGAGCTGGTTCTACCTGCTGTAGTTACACACTTGGATTGCGGTTTCCCAATTTACAGATTTACTGACTTACAGTGTGAAGCATCTGCACTTCTAGAAATTCTAAGCATTGCAATCAATCACTATTACTGTCTTTTTAGGATTGTAATAGTAATCACGCCTAAGCATATTAAAACACAAAAGATTCTTCACATTAAAAAGCAGTACCTAGATTAGTGAAAGTATTATTCCTCTGCAGACCTGGAGCAGACTTCGCATTTCTCCGTTACTTACTTCTGAGTTGAGTGCCCCCTCACTCTTCCCAAAATATTAAAAACCAAGGGAAAAAAAATAACCAAGAGCATTTGCCAACGTATTTCTGCAAGCAGACATAAGACTATGCAACTGTAACTGTCAGTGTGTCAAGACTCTTGGCATAAATCAAGTGGGAAGCAAGTTGACTAGCAAAAGTCACTAAAATAAAATTCCAATGAAGGATTACATTATCACTACACCAAGTTACTAGAAGAGTATCCAAGATCTCTGCAGACATCCTGATGGACTGGCTCTTCTGAATCTTGAAAGAGGTGACAAAGCAACAGAAGCATCTATTTGTCATAGAATCTTTCTGCCTTTTCTAAGATGTTTCCCTCAAGAGATGCTAGGCTCAGATGGAAGCACAACTTACCCCCAAGTCTGACAATTCTGACATGCAAAGGCACATACTTGCCCACAGTACAGTTCACCTGTAGCAGGCTAGCTCTTTAACAGAGAAGCACAACAA